ATACAAGCATAGCTAACGTGAAAACTTATAGCCAAAGAGTACAGTAGAAATCACATGGAGGTGGTAGGAGGGTGGAAGATGGTAAAAGGGAGAGCCTCCTCATAAATGTGTGGTTGTGCTGAAAAGCCTGAGGGATATCCCAGGCATGGAGCTCCCTCCCCCTAGAAGCATCAGGTCTCAACCCCACGCAGGGATCCCAACTCACAGCAATGAGGAGGTGTGGAGGAGCCTGTGTAGCATCTGGTGTTGGGAATCAGTGGGATTCTGTCCACTGGAGAGATTTGGACCACACTATTCCTGGGAGAGCAAAATAAAGACTTCCCAGTCTTTATTCATTACCACCAAACCAGCACTGCAAGAAATGTTAAAGGGACTGCTTTAAGAAAAAGAAATATATTGTAGAAAAAAGATACAATGGGGTGGAGGGAGGTGGGAGAGGGCAAAGGGGGGGGATATGGGGACGGAAAGAGACGTTACTTGGGGCGATGGGCGCATGATGCCGTGTGCAGACGGTGTTTTGTTGAGTTGTACAGTTTTGTTAGCCAATGTCACCCCAATAAATTCAGTAAAAGGAAGGGAGGGAGGAAAGAAGGAAGATATATCATGGCCTTTTAACTTGGGGATGATGAAAAATGAACTGTGATTGAATGCCAGTGAGACGGGATGAGAAAAGTACTCATAATGGGGCAGGAAGGCGGACATATGTAATACTTTCAACAATGAAGAATTATTTAAAAATAAAGATGTTAAAACATCTTATGTTCCAAAAAAGACGTAGGGTAGCTGAATGGATAAGAAAACATGAGCCATATATATGCTGTCTACAAGAGACCCACCTCAGAACAAAAGATTCACACAGGCTGTAAGTGAAGTGATGGAGGGAAAAAAATAATCCATGCAATGGAATCAAACAAACAAATGAAAAACCCGCTGGGGTAGCAATACTTATATCTGACAAAATAGACTTCAAAACAAAGGCCAAAGAGGACATAGATATGGCCAATAGACATATGAAAAGATGCTCAACATCTTTAATGATCAGAGAGATCAAAATTAAAATGATAATGAGATATCACTTTACACCTGCTGGAATAGCTACCATTGATAAATCAGCAAACAAGTACTGGTGTACTTGTTTACTGGTGTACTTGAATGTGTAGAAAAAGAAATTCTAGCTCACCATTTATGGGAATGCAGACTGGTGCAGCCATTGTGGAAAACAGTATGGAGTTGCCTCAAAAATTTAAAAAAGGAACTGTCTTTTGACCTAATGATCCCACTTATGGGAATATATCCTAAGAATTCTAAAACACCAACCTGGACGATGTGGCTACGTCGTTAGAGCTTCTGCCAGTGGACCAAAGGGTGGTGGGTTCAATCAATTCCCTGTCAAGGGCATGTACCTGGGTTGCAGGATTGATCCCTGACCCTGCTTGGGGCAAGTTCAGGAGGGAACCATCAATTTGTCTCTCATTGATCTCTCTCTCTCTCTCCTGCCCTCTGCTCTGCCCAGTTTATATACCTCAAGCTTTCTTTCTCTCTCTCTCCTCTCTCTCTCTTCCTCCCTCCCTCCCTCCTTTCCTCCCTTCCCCCCTTCTTCCCTCTATCCCTCCCTTCCTTCCATTCTACTCTATTTCAAATCACTGGAAAGATATCCTCTGGTAAGGATTAACAAAACAAAACAATGCACAAATGAGTGGGGAATAAAGATGAGTTCCTTCTTATAGAATACAACTTAAACAAAAATGATAGAATTTGTAAAGAGCTACCATTTGATTACCACATTCGCAGTAATTTTGTCATATAAGAATCATTAAAGTGAGTGGGTGTAATTTTAATAAGGAAAATGTTATGTTTATATAATACCAAAATATCTACATAAATTATACCTTTTAATCACAAGGTTAAAATAGTAACTATAAAAAACTGTACTTTACAGTAGATAACCTGGCAGATAAAACCATAGCCAATGAAGATAAATGAAAACACTAGTCATTGGAAAAATTAATAGCATACGCCTTCTAATAATATGCACTGTGGTATATCTACTGCGAATTAAAACCTGAAACATACATGCATACATATAAACAAATGGTAAACATAGTAAAATGTTAACCATTATGGAATCTGAGCAACGCCTCTAAAGGAATTCTTGATATCATTTTTAAACTTTCCTGAATCTTTAAAATCATTTCAAAACAAAAAATGGACACACCCTTTGTCCCAGCTGGAACATGTCCAAGAAGAAAGGCATCCAGGGCATGGCTGGAATCAGGGACACTGTCCCTAGGACTCCAGTCCCTCTGGCTCTTGGACACACAGCTCCCAAAGGGCAGTCATGAATCAGCCACAAGCTTGGGGACTTGATTGCAGTCTCTCATTAGCAGTTATGTGCTATCTGTGGACTCATTTCTCTGGAGCTGCTTAAGGAAAAGCAAAGTCTGTAGAAGTGCTAAGGCCCCAGATATTGGTTCTGTGTGTCTGGATGTTAGGTCTCCTGAAGAAAACCTGAGGAGATGGGCGACAGACTGGGGAAGAAGGTGTCTGAACTCACCAATGACGAGCCCAGGTGAGAGGAGCTGGAAATCTGCCTTTGCCCATGGACCTGCCTGTGTGCTAGTGGGTTCATGTGTGAGACTCGGTGTCCATGACTGTGTGTCGGTCTGTGTGTCTGTCTGAATATACTATGTACACTTGTGTACGTGCTGTTTGATAGTTGTGTGTGTGCGTGCACTATGTGTCTGACTCATTTCCTGAGTCAGACTTAACCTCAGCCCTGTTTTAGTGCATGTAAATCCAGTCACCAGCCTGCTGGCGTGTGGTTAGGGACTCCTGATTCATGTCTGTGATCATAAACACGGGCGTCGTAGCTGAGCATCGGGAGTGAGACTGTGGTCTCTGCTGCTGGACAGGAAGATACCCACCTCATCATGAACCAAGGTCAGGTCAGAGAGGGCTCAGACCTCTGCTCAGCAGCATGTACTGGTGCACATGCTAGTTGTGTCTGTGGGTGACACACGTGTGTGAGAGCAAAAAGTTATGTTGTTAGGTTTTCTCTGTATGTTACCATGTGTATGTGACCACGTGCATGGGGTGTTGGTGGTAGTTTCATGATGGTGCCGGTGACAGAATACAATTAACTGCCCCTTGGTGACTGCCCTCCCCAGAAAGGGGATGGGACAGAAGGGGGGCATTAATAGCAGGGTGTGCGCTGCTTAATGCAGTGAACGTGACTGGGTGGGCATATGTATTGTTGGTGTGTTTCCCATGGTATTTTTGAATATTTGTGCTTTTGTGTGTTTTGGTGATGTATGTGTATAGTGCATGAGTTATGTATATGTGGGGATTAAGTCTTTGCCAGATGTGCCATGAGCCAGGTGTGTTGAAGCGCATTGGGAGTGTTTGTGGGTGAGTGGTCCATCACTGAGTGGTGTGTATGTCTCGCTTTGTGTGTTTATTATGATGTGTATGTATGTCTATGCGTGTTTATGAGCTGAGCCCCATACTGGCTATCCCTCCCTTAGGAGGGAACATGATCACACTTCATTGAAATTCTAAAATCGGCAGTGTGTGTGTGTGTGTGTGCGTGTGCGTGTGCGTGTGCGTGTGCGTGTGTGTGTGTGTGATTTGAATGTGTGTCTGGGGTTTCCAACTTGCCCCTATGACCTCAAATATTTCCTGCAGAGCCCTTCTCCTGGGGCACCACTGGCTGAGCTAAACAAGCTCCAAAGAACCCCAGTGTCTGAAATGGATCTGCTGTGCTTCTCACATACCTGAGGGTGACTGTGTCACTCAGAGGTTGGTAACACTTTCACTTAATGTCCAGACTAAGAAACATTAGGTGTCATGCTGTGTGAAGTCAGAGTGCAGGACTGCCACCCCGTGGTGTGGCAAACCTTGAGAAAGGCACTTAACTCACTGGCCTCTGTTTTCAATCTACAAAGTGAAAGAAAGACATGACGCTTGCCTCATAAACATGTAAGCAAATGATAATGAATGTAAGGGTGTTTTGTTAATGGAAAAACAGACCATTATAAATGAAGCGAACTCTCTAGGTAGGGACTGAAGAAAATGCGAAAAT